TAAGGATGTTGTAGATTAACATCTTAACAGAGGAGACACTACATCTCCTCTGCTGAAACTATCTTTGGAGATTTTGTGTGTGTGTGTGTGTGTGTGTGTGTGTGTGTGTGTGTGTATAATTATATATGTATATAATATATGTCTCCAATTTTTTTTTTAACTACATGAAAGTGAAAAAGTGGAGTGTGGTTGCTGGTTATCTGTGCCCCAAAGTTAAGACATGGTGAATGTATGTCCTGTGTAAAATTTTCAGGCTGTTTTGAGAATAGGAAGTTCTTCTTTAAAATGATCCAAATTGATTATGACCTGGCTATCCTGTATAATAGACATCAATGTAGGAACAAGCTTCAATAAATGAGAAGGAGACTAAACTATAGAGAAGTGCTGCCCGTTAAGGACCGTGGGCCATTTTGTATGTTATCTATCAGCTTCCATTCTTACCCAGTTTCTACTCCTCTATCTCACCTCAATCACTGTCCTAAGAATAAAGGCCATGGCCAAAATGCTCAGTTGAGCCTCTCCCCACTCCCTATTTAATCAAAAATCAGCAAAATAAATAAAATGATTAAACTATTTCTAATCCCTTGGTCCTCTGTCCTACCCCAAAACTACTACAAGGTTATGATTATAAATGTTCACTGGACAAGGAAATGGTGAGACATGATTTTGACTGTCAGTCAAATCAAAATTCTAACAACTGAGGTGACATCAGTGCCTCAAGTTATATTGAAATCAAATGTAATGGAGATTAGTCATATTAGTGATACCCCTTAACAATAGCTGTTCCCAATGACATTAAACCTTTTTCAGTTTTTACTTGAACCTTGACCACTGCTAAATTATTTGACACTGTTTATTTACTCATATTTAAGATGAGAGACCTGTTAGTGAATAATATCAAAATATTAGATACATTTAACAATTTCACATTATCACAGGCATGTGTCTCAAATTTATTACATGTAAGATACTCAATGAGAAATAAAGGGGGAAAATGCTACCTTTCTGGAAGATGGAGAAAGAATTCTCTTTAAATTATTCAATATCAAGAGACAGTGTTGATCTAAATCAAAAGCCACTCAGGCCCATAATTTTTGATACCTATATATTTATTCAAATAAACTGTAACATTGCATTTTAATTAAACTCTAATAAGTATGTTTATTTTAATTCCTATAAAAATATAGAATTGTAAGGATGTTGTATCTGTAAGAAAGCAGAAGAAAAACCATTATTTTTTTAAACATGTATTATGACATGGATTTTTAAATGACTATTCTGTATAGTTTATCAAAACAAACTCATAAGAAAAATAATTTTGTTTTATGTGTAAGAAATTTGACAATTTGTTAAACAAAACTGATGTTATTTTAATTTTTTTACAGATACCGATGAACAAATCAAAGAAATCTAAATGTTCTTTCTTTTCTCGACCAATAGCTTACTATGTTTTATTAAAACTATCAGTCTCTCCATAGTGATTCATTTGTGCTGGATTCCTTTAGACCTTATAACAAAACAAAATTGATGGAATGCTTTCTTTTCAGTTAAAATTATAAAATATAGACTTCATAAGTATGGCTAAAGAAATTTTAAAAAAATTAAATATGTAGTAATAGTAAGTACCTTTTTTCAAACAGTCTCTAAAATACAAGGCAATTTTGTCTCTTGTGTCTAAATACTTTCTCCTAGAAACCATTTTGACCACTGACCCTCCACCCATCCCCAATCCCTTTGCTTCAAAATGTCAGTCACTTTTCTGAATAACGCATTTAATACCAACTTACATGGCCCTTCTGAGTCTCAAAAGTTATGCCACGTTCCTTACAAATATTCAGCCCTGATAATAATCATACAAATAGACATTGTTCTATTTTAAAGACAATGACTTGCCAACAATTAAATAGCTAAAAAATATTTGCAGCAAGATGGAGAAGCATACCAAGAAGTTATGGACTTTGAATGTTACTGGAAGGAAAGGCAAAGTTAACTAATGTGCTGTTGAACAGTGATTTGGGTAGTTTCTTTTGACTGTTGCAACAAATTACCACAAAATGCACAGTTTGAAACAAAAGAAATCTATTTTCTCACGATATGAAGGTCAGAAGTTCGAAATTAATTTACTAAATTAAGATCAGTGGGTTGGCAATATGTACTCAGATGGCCCTGAAGACGTTTCTTCCAGGCTCTGCCTTGGACTGTCATTTTTTGGCTTCTACCCACTTTCGTTTCTTTGACAGGCAGTTACATGAACCCAGTGGAATAAAGAGGAAGCTGAGAAACCCTAGGTTAATAAACAAACAGCAAATCTCAGCTAATCTTACCTTACTAATTAAAATCTCCCAACTTCAGTCTACCTCCCACAAATGGAATTTAGATGCGTTCTCACATATCAGAAAAAAAATTCAAGATCTTCACCCTTAACTGCATCAAAATGGGACTTATCCTGCTCCTGAACATCGAACAGAAAGGATGTTACCTGTACCCTAAATGGTGGTCCCATGATAAGCCTGAGACACGATAACTAAAATACTCCCCACTAGAAAATTACCACCACTGCAGCATTCCAAATGGAAACAGGGAAGCCAAGGTAGAGAAATGTGCATGAGTTCCCTCTCTGCAAATAAATGTTGTAGCCATGCTTTTCTCCAGTAATGCTAGAAGTTCGCTTTCCATCCTTGGGCTGTCAAAGTCCACTTCCCGTTTGGAAGGCTGAAGCCCCAGGACTTATTTTGTAGAGACCAGAATAGGAGTGTTCAGAGGGTGTTGATAGTCAGTTGGAAGATAAAATGTTCTGGGGACAAGACTGCAGCTGGATGACCAGGTATTAACGTCTTATGTACTAGAAACGTATGGAGAGGGTCTACTTTAAGGATAGTCAGTCCCCCAAATGCAACTGTTCCAGGTAATGTGAATATGTCACTTTACTTGAGAGCGGTTATCTTTTTACTCTGTGTGTATTTATGTGTATGCATGTATATGCATATGTGTACACACACACACACATATCTAATGCCATTATACACTTTGAAAATAGACATTTTTGTGAGTCAGACCCCAAGAAAGCTGAAAAGGAAAAAAAAAACATAAGAAAGAATATCTCAATCAACCAATTAATATTATTGATTATAATTAAATGTAAAACCTATCTCTTTAAAGGCATTAAATTATCTGAAGACACAAATACTCAATGGAGCCTTTTGCATTTGTTCTGATTTAATTTAATAATAAATTAATGTAATTTAATAACAAAAAGTCTTCAGGATGCTGATCAACTTGCTTTCAGGTAAGGCTAGTGTGCCAATAATTACAAAACCCTCCCTTTTCTACATACCTTGATGTCACTACATGTTGCTCCCTTACTTCACTGGCTACTCCAATGAATTCTTAAGGGGGGTGGGGGGGAATCTGGGAGAATATAATTCCACTCACTAGATCTTTAATCTCACTTAATTAAGCTAAAATCATGCATTTGGCCTTCAGCATGTGATATGTTAAACAGCATTTTACTCATTATTTGGGGTGAGTAAGAAGTCAGCTTCTTAGTTCTGTTGAGGTCCAAGCCTCTGGCGATCACACGCCTCACACCATGTCTAAGAGGGGGATTTCCTGAGTTAACTTCTTGTCCCATCTTATCACAGGCAGATAGTACAACTCAGTTCTCTAAAGTGCATTCATGGCTGAGATGGACTTTATACAGTACGAAAAAATGAAGCTAGCCTCGTGGCACAGGCCACATCATCCCAGCATTGGGAAGGCAGATGCAAGAGGAGTCTGAGTTTGAGGCCAGCCTGGGCTACAAAGGAACCCATGACTGCCAAGAGAAGTATGGAGGGGGGTGGGCTGGCGAGGGGTGGGGGAGGGAAGGAACATGGACACACAACATGACAAAGAGGAGATAAAAATTGTATCAAATTAATTTCTGGAAAAATAACATCCTATCTTGAAGTGAAACATTGAAAATTCTATGAAGATAGAAGATTTTGCTCGTAAATCTTAACTTTAAAAAATATTTTATGTAGAAAAAAGAAAAAGAAGAAAAGAAAAAAGTATTTTATGTGTAGGGGTGTTTGCCTGCACGCTTCTCTGCGCTCCATGTGCTCCACGCTCCAGCCAGAAGAGGGCGACAGAACTTGAGTTCCAGAAGGTCGAAAGTCACCAAGCAGGAATCCAAACCCAGGCCTCGAGAAAAGCGACCAAGGAACGCTCTTAACCACTGAGCTTTCTCTCCAGCCCTAAATCTGTAAAATTTTTTAGCATTAAAGAATGGCCTGTCTATGGCCAAATGCTGAGAAAATTGAAGCTTATTGCAAGAATTTAAACAACATTTTGGAAAAAATCTAAAAGTTCAGTGTCCCCAGGGTATAAATGACTGCTCAAACTGCTGCACTGGGCAACCGAGAAGGACTTTTAGGGCAGAGAATGATGGTATCAAAGTACTAGTTTTATGACGATTGATACAGAGACAGAGTATTGTGGGCTAGAAGAGACTGAAACTGGGAACCCCAGTTAGAAAGTCTTGGTTGGCTAGTGACATACAAATAAATACAACAGTTCATAGCCTTATGGCCCAGAGCGAGGGCTTGTCCCTAGAACAGCCCCCAGCCAGAGAAAATAGGAGGGATATGGGCCTAGAGCCATTATTATCTTAACTAGGCGCCTAATTCAGTCAATCGTTCTTTATTCACGCATCTGCTGGGCACAGTCTTTTTTCTCCTACTGTGTTAAGTTCTGATAATACTCCAGAGGTCAAGGACCACTTGTTCTCTCTAATCCTGCCAGCACAGTGGATGGAGCCCAAAATCCACAGAAATGCCAGAAGAAAGGAAAAGGGGAGAGAGCGCACAATTGTTCCAATCCTCCCTGGTGGATTAAGGAATGCCTGGGGTTTTTTTTGGCTCCTTGATCTCTACGGAAACCACTGGCAACCCCACCCCCCAAAAGACTCTCAAAACAAGAATCATATGGCCTGCGAGTCGCTGTAAGACTTAAGTTCTCCAGAATGCTGCACTCGCCATTTGTAAGGTCGGTGGGTGCAGTCAGAATGCTCGTGAGCCAACAGGCCTTGAGCTCCAAGATGAGGCTGAGCGCTGCCATAGCAACGTCCTGGACATCTAGGTCTTCGGCCGCAACCGCTGCAGCAGGGACCCAGGTCTTCACCTTCTCACACTGGGTGTGGTGGTGTGGGACTACAGATGGCCCAACCAGGTAGGAGAGACTGCCCTGCTCCTCCAGCAAGAAGATAGACAGACGATAGACTGACGGGTGGCTTTCAAGAATGCCCTTCCAGAAACACATCTGCTACCCTCAGTCCGACAGCCTGGAGAGGTATGATGCTCCAAGGGAAGGAACATCTTCCGGGCTCTTTGTCACCCCCAGCTCGGCATCTGGATCTCTGCCCTCCTTCCAATTCCGACCCCGTATAGAGAATGTGGACTGGAGGCGGCTGGGCGCCATTGATGTGGACAAGGTGGTAGGAGCTAGGGATATCCTGACACTTCAGGAGAACATCATGAACATCACCTTCTGCAAGCTGGAGGACGAGAAGTGCCCGCGTTGCCAGTTGGGGGTGGACCCACTGCTGTTGAAGCTCACCCGCCTGGCGCAACTCACAATCGAGTACCTGATGCATTCCCAGGAGTTCCTCGCCTCACAGCTGAACGCAGCGGAAGCACGGTTGCGCCTCAGTCTGAGGGGCTGTGAGCAGAACAAACAGCTACTCACTAAGCAGGCTGAGGAGATCAGACTGCTCAGGCAGGAGTGTAGGCACGGGAAGAAGGTGTTGTCTGCCCAGCAGCTGATGATGGGCCAGGCCAAAGCCAGCCATTACCAGTGCCGTTTTTGTGACAAAGCCTTTATGAGCCAAGCCTTTCTACAGAGCCACATTCATCGCCGTCACCCTGCAGATTCTTGTCTTGGGAGAAGTACCAAGGCACAGAATGACAAGCTGCAGAAGGAGATCGACATGTTGAAGGAGCAGCTGTGGTTCACCAAGGCTCAGCTAGAGGCCACCCAGCACACCCACACAGTCAGGACCTCTGAAGACCAGGAAGCGCTGAAAACCAAAGAGGACTTTCAGCAATTAGTTGATAGATGGGAGGAGGAAGAAAAACAGAAACTGAGGGATGAGATGGGAAAAGTCAAGGAGATGTTTATGAAGGAGTTTAAAGACTTAACTTCTAAGCATTCCGCTTTAAAATATCAGTTGTTGGAAATCCAGAAATCCAATATGCAGGACAAGCTCCACATGGGCACCTGGAGAGACTTCTCGGTTTAAAGACTGATTTCCACATCCCAGCCTTCCCCAAACGTGCTGCACCCCCTTGAGTGTGAGTAAGCCAGTGGCCGGATGGACTTCCAAGTTCTCAAGAATGCGGCAAGGAGCAGGGTCAAGTCTTTCTCAGGCAACCGCAGCCGCCCTGAGGTCATGAGTGCAACAGCCCTGTCAGGTCCAGAAGACACTGATTGACAACTGTCATCCACATTGTCTCCTACACTCTTTCCACCCCTTTCTTCTCTGTGTTGTTTCTTGGTGTGCGTGTGCGTGTGCGTGTGTGAAATGTCTCAGGGTTGAGAGTTCCATAGCCATGTATTCTCCACAATTTGGCCAATTGTAAGTCTGTATTAGCCTCTGCATCACAAAAAGGAAGCTTCTCTGATAAAAGCTAAGAAGTTACCTTATTTATCTGTAAGTATAAAGTATCATCTAGAAGGTAATTTGATGCTCTATCCATTAAGCAAGATAAGTCTCAATTCCATCATAAAGCAGTTGGTTGCCCCCCACACATTCCTGCCACTATTATACCATAATAATATCTTAACATTTACATTTCTGTAAGTTCAGGGACCCCACCCCACCCCCATGTACAGACAAAGCCTTACAAAATCTACATTTTCAATTCCCAGGTTATAAATACTTCTCTATGTTTTAAAATATTTTCAGAATCATTTTATTAGCTAAGTGGTGATCCCTCTGGATGCTGTTACTTAATCCTTCCTGTGTGGCTGAAGACCTTTACATGTAACTGGATGTTTCTTCTCATTTCTAAGCAAGTATAAATAAAGGACTGTTCTCATTAACAACAACAACAAATACTAGGAAAGACATTTAGAAGAAAAAATAAATAATATTTGATAATTATTAAGACAAACCAATGCTGTAATGTAAGGAGAAATACAAGAATCTAGGCTTTCTGTGTTGCTTGAAAAAGTCAGTGGAAAAAAACATAGGCAACTCATAAAAGATAGAGAAGTATTACTTGTTATGAGGAATTCTACTGTAGTGTAGAGGGGGAAATATGGAAAAAGAAAACAGGGTCATGTCCATTTTTCAATGGCAAAGGCACCAGGCAGAAGAGTATGCACTTAGGAATGCCAAAGTGCAAAGATGTATAAAACAAAAAAATTTTAAAAAACCTTTGAATTAAAAAAATTCTCACTGGGGGGTAAAGCTAAACATTTAGATGTGACAAATGCTTCCTCCAATATATAATGAACAACTCTGGTGACCACATCAGATATTAGAATTTACAGAAATTGAGAAAATTTGAAAAAGTAAAAAAATTAATGCTCAAACTGTCATTTTAAGTAATAATACAAATAAATTTTAAATTATTTATCAGCTATAGAATAAACATATACTACATTAATATATGACACTATTAATTATTAATATATGACATTCAGAAACCAAGGCTACCTCTTCTAAAACTTTACAGGCTAACTGTAGAGAAATACAATCAAACTATGATAAAGTACCATAGTGATACATATTGGTAGCAATATATATACCACCAACAGACATGGAAGAAAGTGGAGAGAATGAATTCATCATGAAGGGGATCATTAGAATCATTAGATTCCTTAATCTGCTAGGATAATTTAGGCAAGCTGCCATGTGACCTGAGGGAAAGCTGTGGTAGAGCAGACTGAAATAACTTCCAGTCTCAGGATTTGAGTGCACTCCTTCAGTGTGGTTTTAGTGTTGACCTAAATGAGATGGGTTATTAATTTTAAAAAAGCATATTTTTCATCAAGAATCTTTCACCACAAAACACAGACGTTTTGACTGTGTGTATAACAAACTCCTTATGCTATTGTAGCATCAATCTTAAGAGTTCTTAATAAAAACAAATCTGGAGCCAAGTATGGGGGTGAACACTGAAAGAACGGAGAAGCAGAACAAGCCACAGCTACCTCACTTCGCCAAAACCTCAGCCAATCCTGTTTCCTCAGACTGGAAGCTTCTAAGCCCTCATCCAAATGGATCTCAGCTGAACTGCTGCTCAGAAACTTAATTGCTTAACCAACCAAAGGCTTCTAGTTTCTGGTCCTCATGCCTTATATATCTTTCTGCTTTCTGCCATCACTCCCTGGGATTAAAGGCATGAGTCACCATGCTTGGCTGTATCCTTGAACACACAGGGATCCAGAGGGATTTCTGACTCTGGAATGCAAGGATTAAAGGTGTGGGCTACCACTGCCTATCCTCTGTATTTAATATTGTGGCTGTCCTGTTCTCTGACCCCAGATAAGTTTATTAGCGTGCACAATATTTCAGGGAACACAATACCACCACATGCTATCCATGATTTTAGTAGTTTAAATGGAAAATTAGTTTTCCATTAACATTTTTCTGCTGCACAAAATCAATGCATCAGTAAATACAGTTTGATTTACCTTACAATAATACCATAAGATGTATATTACATCCAATAGCAGTTTTCATATCCATTGGTAAGCTACAACACAACAATCCTATAATTAGGCCAAGTTGCTCATATTAAAGGACAATCTGTTAAATTTGACATCCTCGAGGCTTGATTTATCCATAGGGGAATAAGACTCTGATTCACAGAAACTTCTGGGTTTCTAACACAAGTAAAAATGGTCTCAAGCGTGATTCATTCGTACATTCATTATTTTACTTTTTTCTTTTTTAATTAAGAAAATGTTTCCATTCATTTTACACACCAATGAAAGATCCCCTTCTTCCCTCTTCCCCATCCCAACTCACCCCACTCTCTCCCACAAGAAGGCAAGGCCTCCCATGCGGAGGTACATCCAGTAGAGGCAATTCCAAGCACTTCCCCTGCCTCAAGGCTGCATGAGGTGTCCCATCATAGGTAGGCAGCTCCAAAAAGCCCACTCATGCACCAGGGATGGATTCTAATTCTACTGCCAGGGGGCCTCCCAAGCAGATCAAGCTACACAATTGTCTTACCATGCAGAGGGCTTAGTCCAGTCCCATGCAGGCTCCACAGCCATTGATCCAGCTTTCATGATTTCCCAGTAGTTTGTTTGGTCCTCTCTGCAGGTTTCCCCATCATGATCCTGTTGCACTTGCTCATAGAATCCCTCTTCACTCTCTTTGACTGGACTCCTGGAGCTCTGCCTGGTGTTTGGCTGTGGATCTCTGTGTCTGCTTCCGTCAGTCACTGGAGAAAAGCTCTGTGATGACAGTTAGGGTATTCACAGATCTGATCTCTGGGGCAAGCCAGTTCAGTTCAGGTACCCTCTCCACTATTTCTAGTAGTCCAAGCTGGGGTCATCCTTGGGGATTCCTGGGAACTTCCCTAGCACCAGGTTTCTCTCTATCCCTGTGATGTTTCTCTGTATCATTATATCTTTCATTGCATTCCCCCTCCCTCCCTGTTCCAGCTCAACCATCCCATTTTCCTATGTTCTCATCCCCTATTCTCCATTGCCCACCTCTTGCCCCCAGTTTACTCATGGAGATCTCATCTATTTCCCCTTACCAGGGTGACCCATGCATCCCTCTTTGTGTCTTCTTTGCTAGCTAGCTTCTCTAGAGTGGTGGGTTGTTGTGAGGTTATCCTTTGCTTTACAGCTAGTATCCACTTATGAGTGAGTACATACCATGTTTGTCCTTCTGAGTCTAGGTTACCTCACTCAGGATGATATTTTTTAGTTCCATCCATTTGCCTGCAAATTTCGTGATGTCATTGTTTTTCTCTGCTGAGTAGTATTCCATTGTGTACATGTACCACATTTTCTTTATCCATTCTTCAGTTGAGGGGCATCTAGGTTGTTTTCAGGTTCTGGCTATTATGAATAATGATGCTATGAACATAGTTGAGCATGTGTCCCTGTGGTACGATTGAGCATTCCTTGGGTATATGCCCAAGAGTGGTACCATTGGGTCTTGAGGTAGACTAATTCCTACCAACAGCTGTGGAACCTGATGGGACCAAACTAGGTCCTCTACATACAGGAGACAGTTGTGTAGCTTGGTTTGTTTGAGGAGCCCTGGGAGTGGGATAAGGATCTATCCCTGGTGCATAAACTAGCTTTCTGGAGCCTATTACCTATGTTGGGACACCTTGCAAAGCCTTGATGCAGTGAGGAGGGGCTTGGTCCTGCCTCAACTGAATGTACCAGGCTTTGCTGACTCCCCATGGGAGGCCTTATTCATTTGGAGGGAGGGATGGGGGTGAGGGAGAAGGTTGAGGGAAAGCGGGAGGAGGGATGAGAAGGGATCTGTGGTTGGTATGTAAAATGAATAAAAAAAATGCTTAAATGAATATTTAAACACTGGATGTTATTCTTGGTTCCTTTTCTTCTAAAATTATATATCTGATTTTCAATAAATCCAGTGAGCTAAAGTTTCAAACTTTCAAAAATTTAATGGTCTATAAGCATGCTTACATTGATACCATCATGACTCGGGCCTTATTCTTGAACCTTTGCTATAAATTCTTAAATTGCTCCCTGTTTTCTGTCACTGAACATCATATACCCAATTACTATCTTTTTTTAATATAAAACTCAAAGCAATCATGCACAATTGCATCTGATCTAATTATTTTATTTTAAGATCCTGTAAGTGCACCATTACTTCTTGTTTCCATTATAAAAAGGACACGAAATCAAATGTACAAATCAGATGTTATTAAAAGATCATTTGCAAATGAGAAAAAACAACTACAATTTTACTAAGAATGCATTTCACTTTTTGTAGAAAAAAAAGCATTGAGTTTGCCTCTGAACCTTCTACTTACATTTCAGCCTAGATTTGATTTGATTGTACTTCATAACAGAAAAAGATCAAATGCCCTGCGGTAGATACAGATCAGGGAAACAGCTAGATATTGGGCAGTTCTGGAAATGCTTGAATGAAAAGATTGGCATCAGTAAGATAACAGATACAAGTTAAGTAGGAAAAAAGTTTAAATAGCTGTGAGACTGAATCTCAGCTCACATTGGGAACCATCTGCCCATCTCAAAGCTTGGAAATAAGGTAACACTATTAAAAACGACTCACTGTGTCTGTTTTATTTTTTTTCTTCAGGAGGGAAAAATGACTTACCACATGGAAACTGAAAATTGAGATGCCTTAGAACAGTATGTTTATTTCAATATAAGTATATCAGAAATTACTTAATACACAAGTAAAGACTTAAGAAAATGAACTCAGAACATAAGCTGTCAGGGATGCCATGATGTATTTTTAAATGGTAGAAGTTGTAATGGTTACTTAACTTCAAGACTGTCTGAAGTTCTAACATCTGAAAAGAATATAAACAGTGAATTAATAGCATTATTTTATTTTCATGTATCATTTTACTTGACACAATAAAGTCACCAAAACTGAACAATTATTAGACCAAGAAATTTTTTACCTGGCAAACACTGTTACTAATTATCACTGAAATTTACCCAATCTACATATGAAAATATTTATTTTAAAAGATTCTTTTAGGCTTCTGGAGGGGGTCAGAATGGTTGTTGCTGACAATATTAGGTGACTTAAGAAAAGTAAAATTTTATTTACTTTATCCAGTTTTCACTGAGAGTGTCAGTATTCAAGGATAAAGAAGGACATTAATGGCATAGTACTAACATTTCACCTGATGTATCATTAACTTAAGTTCAAAATGGGTAGAGAAACAGATGAACTGACAGATGACAGATATATAGATAGAGGATAGAGATACATAATAGATAGATGATAGATAGATACATAGATAAGTTGATTATTGGTAGATAAATAGATGATAGAAGATATTTAAAAGATAGATAGATGATAAATAGATAGATAGATAGATAGATAGATAGATAGATAGATAGATAGATAGATAGATAGACAGATAGATAGATGTTCAATTAAGTTGTTCCAAGGTTTAAATATGAATCCTATAATCCTATAAAATATTCTGAGGTATTTTTGGTGCTTTTCTATGTAAAAAAAAATCCCTTTTCAATGCCAAATTGTAGCGTAAAGGCATTTTAAATATCAAAAACACTAAGTGGGGAAAACATTCAAATTTGAATATAATCAAATTTGTTCCATAAAGAAAAAAGAGCTGGAACCTAATTTAAAAAAACAGTGTCTGAAGAAAAATTACATATTTTAAGAATCTTTATTGGCAGCATAACTTTGTGAGATGTTATTTTCATGGTTTGCATTGCAAATATAGTCTTAAGTGGCCTAATTAGTGGTTATTTAGGATGATGGTATACAGAGTTGGACATGAGTTGCAACTTCCTTATTTCAAACCAGCATGGTATATAAATAGACAATGTTAGATAGAACATGATCATTTGGGGTAGCGTATTATTTTCCTAAAAAATTTTCCAAACCTCGAACTTAGGTAACCTTGTACAATTAAAAAAAAAAACTGTTATGGACATATTCATGGCAATGGGAAACTATTGCCTTCATATACGTACCCACTGATAACCCTACCAGGATCCAGGGCATAATTCCATTCCAATAGTCACACAGATGACTAAACTAACGGGGTCATGAAACAAAACCAAAAGCCATGAGTCTGGGGAGGGGCTGAGTAACTCAGGGGAATGGCTGGTAGGCACTGGGAAGGAGGTAAAAGAAGGGAGGCTGGTCAGAATATATTGTGTTCATGGATAAAACTATCAACAAAATTAATCAGTGTTTAAAATATTAAAATGCTAAATCATTTAAAAAAAAATATAGAATGTTCCTCCAGGCGGTGGTAGCGCACGCCTTTAATTCCAGCCTCGGGAGGCAGAGGCAGGCGGATCTCTGTGAGTTCGAGGCCAGCCTGGTCTCCAAAGCGAGTTCCAGGAAAGGCGCAAAGCTACACAGAAAAGCCCTGTCTCGAAAAACAAACAAACAACAACAACAACAACAACAACAAAAATAGAATGTTCCAACCAATCAGATTAAGATATATTCTCACTGAAACTAAAGCTGGGCATTTTATACATCCCCACATATTTAGGGGCTAGTTTGTAGGAATCTGAGTTTCCAAGCATACACAGCTTCTAGAGGCAAATTCTGGGAGTAAAATTAAATAATGATTTGACAGACTATTTGGAGAGTGTACAGGAGAGATAGTGATCATTTCAAGCACCCCTTCACTCCTTGGGTGGGAGTTTGATGCCTAACCATCAGGAAAATGATGAATCCACCTTTTAGGTCACTGAAGCCAATGTGATACAAGACCGTGAATGTGTATAAGGGAAGGGTAGGTAGCAATGAGTGGTAGCAATACTCAAAGAATTGGCACATACTGGAGAAATGGAGTATCAACAACTTGCAAAAGAAAAAATGTCATTCTGCATGGATAGATGCAGTTATTGCTCTAAGTGCTCAAACATAAGACTGAGGTGAATCAATGACCCCTCCAGACAACATAGTGCTTGTAGGGATGTGTTCCTCGTCAAGTCACCTGGTCTTCTCTCATTGGGAGGATTATGAAACAATGAAAAATCTACATAAAATATCTTGTACAAAGAGAAAATTTTCCTTCCTTGTTTTACTACTGTTCGTTTGGAAGAAGATGAGTTCTTCCAATGATGATACTTAATATTTAATAAATATATTATCATTTTTTCTTCATAGAAATTGACAATGAAATTCCTGGTTTTTATGTGTGTTTTGAATGTGGTGATGGAAGGAACAGTAAGTAAATAAAAAACTCTGGGTTTCCCTTGCTTTATAAAAAGGATTCTAGACAATAATGACATTATGGTTAGACTGTGTATTAAATTATAAACTCAATAATTGTAAATAACAGCAAGTTGCCTTGCATATTTAAATATAAGTACTCCATTTACCCCAAATTTATAATTTTACTAGTGAAAATGTCTTGCCACAGAAACTTGGGTCCTTGACAATAAAAGAAACTATTATCAAGCCTGCTGAAGTTTTCCCCAAGTTAACTAAGACCACTGCATCCCACTCAAAATGTTACCCATTGTGAACTTAGTGTGTACACCTGCTTCAGTCGCCCTTGTTATTTTGTATGCATTTAAATGGCACTTTCATACAAGCAACACTAAACAGAATCAACACACACACAAACACATAAAACAAAGAATAAGAAGACATGAATCTGAGAAAGAGCAAGGTAGGGTATGGAAAGGACCAATGGGAGGAAACGGGATGGGGTAAATTATGTAATTATATCTTAATTTAAAATAATAAATGGTATTGTCTATACATAGTAGAGTTTTGAGATTGTAAATTTTATATATGGTTAAATTTAAACTTAATATATAATACAACAGGGTTGACAAATTAATTTAATATAACCATAGGCCATATTTGAGGAATTTGCAAATTAACCTGGAAAAACTATTTTTGCTATGGGCTTAAATAGTTTAGTACTCAATAAAATAGAAATGTTTTTATATAGTCATATAAAACATATGTGTGTGTGTGTGTGTGTGTATCCATATATGTGTTAGGTAAAATATCTTAATCCAAGCCAGAAATTAAAAATGATTCTATAAAATGCTATTTTGTGTGATATGAGGGATAATCTAATTGAAAATGACTATACAATTAGGTAAGTTATGAAATTCAGTGTTGCAACTATAGGATTCTGTCCACAATTATTTTGAATATAATCATGGATTGTTATAGAGAACATTCTAAAATATTTTTTTTTTTAATTTAAACAACTAACTCTCTTTCTGTCATTGGTTCAGTGGGAAAATATCCCAAATGCCTGGGATCCATCCAGTGAAAAGGTAATCATTTAATATTTTAACATTTAAATAAGACTTTTGCTGATTTTTTTCTACCACATCTGAAATGCATTTCTTTTTGTGTTGCTTTGCACCTTTCCTGGAACTCACTTGGTAGACCAGGCTGACCTCGAACTCACAGAGATCCACCTGGCTCTGCCTCCCGAGTGCTGGGATTAAAGGCGTGTGCCACCACTGCCCGGCCTGAAATGCATTTCTTAATTCCCCTAATCATTTACTAAATTTGTTGTAATCACTATGACTACCGGAAAAAAAAAAAACTTTGTTAATTAAGTATCATATGTATCATCATTCATTTTAAATATATAATTATAAAATTAGAGAGTAGATTTGTGCTTGTTTATTTAAAGTACTGTTCCACTATAGAACCCAGTCTGGTCTCAATTTCCCATCCTCTTGCCTGAGCCCCCAAGGCTGTATGCCTTCGGGCTATGTTCTTCATTTGTGATTGAGCTGTGCCCAGACAGAATATATATCACATAAATACTGGTAATTTAAAGTTTGAAGAATAAACAAGAATATATAAAATTAAGTAATAAGTGCTAATTTTTACCTGTTTATTTGAAGGTTTTTTTTCTTTGTTTGAAATGTTAAAAAAAAAAAAGGTATATTTTTTAAACTGGTTAAAGGGCCAGTGGTGCATGCAGTTCGAAATATCTCACTTAGATTTCAAACTGCTGGACCTGTCTTTGCTGTGTGACCCAGTCAGATGATGTCCACTATCACATCATCTTTGTTCCAACTTGTACAAGAAATTATATTCCTCCACAAAAATAAATATATACCCCCAAATAAAGCTATGTAGTTATTATAAAATACAATAAAAAGTACAAAGAGTCTAGACATGATCTTAAAACTATTGTGTGGGTTCTCTAAATCTTAGCTGCACTGTTAATTAATGAATTTTCTCATATGGAGAAGATATTTCTGTTGAAGAATTATTTTAACAACCATATCATATAATTATGATTTAATGAGTATCTAATGTGATGGGATATTCTGGGATGATATCAGAGAAGTTGAAAGATACTCCAGTAGGGAAAGAGTTATGTCCCAAAAAGTTGAAAGATGCTCCAGTACGGGAAGAAGTATGTCCCCAAAGTTGAAAGATGCTCCAGTAGGAGAAGAGGTATGTCCCCCGCGTTAATTCATTCCTCATCATATCTTCATATGTCACCTTCATCACCTGCTGACTTCTGGAAAAGCACAAGGTGAGAACTTTTAGGAGGTCTCCAAATGCCCCCAAGGACTATACAAAGACATCTGAGTAAGCCAGAGGTTCTATAAATAAATTTAGCCTCATTCTCAGGTTAGCAATAATGGGTAGCAACATTTCTGGAAATGTATTTACCCAGAAACCCCTTCCGGACCAGAAACCAGTGAGGCTGTCAGAATGCTGACCTCATTATTAACACAAGCACTTCATTTCTCATTTATCTTTTTCATCCTTAGCATTTAGATAACATTAACTTTCAGGATGACGATTATTCCCAACGGGTGCCTCCAGGAGACAATTTACAAGATCTTCCAGACTATGGTAGTGATGAAGAAATTCTGTATTTTACACCTCCTGTGTAAGAAAACAAGGTAATTTCAGTTGTTAGACTACAATGTTCAATACCTAAAGATCAATACTTAGTAACAGGATAGCCCAAGCTAATTGTTGTTTATTGGTGTGATTTTATTCCCACATCTTTCAAGTAGAAATAATAGTACTTTAAGAATGGTGTTTGTGCCGGGCGGTGGTGGCGCATGCCTTTAATCCCAGCACTCGGGAGGCAGAGGCAGGTGGATCTCTTTGAGTTCAAGGCCAGCCTGGGCTACCAAGTGAGTTCCAGGAAAGGCGCAAAAGCTACACAGAGAAACCCTGTCTCAAAAAAAACAAAAAAAAATTAAAAAAAAAAAGAATGGTGTTTGTCTGAGTAATATATAAGATTAAGCAACACCAAATAATCAAGTAATAAATGTGAGTGTTATTGATTCAAGATTTTTTTAAAGGAACATTTCTTCAATGAATCATTTTAAAATGAAAATTTTAAAGAGGGCATAATATTCATGTTTGTCTTAGCTTATTAGCATATGAAAAACAATTTCCAGGTTTAGAATACTTATGTACCCATAAATATACCAAATCAGTATTACCTCAGCAGAAATAAATTTTCAAAAGCAAATATTGATTTCTATTTCCCATGCATCTACATAAACTCTTTTTCAAAGTCTTATGTCAAGATAAGCATTAATTTTGTGTGTTCTGTATTATTTTATTGATGAGTAAACTAAAACACAAATGACTAATTTGCCTGGAATTACATTGGTTGTGGGTGATAGAGAACTTACTAACACTGGTTACAATGTTTGATGATCATTGATAGTTCCAAGAATATACTTCACAATGTTAAAACTGTGGAATGAAAATTGAGGTAATGTATTTGTAATAAAAAGAAGTGTAATAAAAAGCACTATGATATTCTAAAGTAGCATAACAATGACATACTTGTTGGGAAAAATGTGGTTGTTAGTCTTGATGTTAAAGAATTCTGCATATGTTTGTATGATGACTGACCCCATTTAGATAATAAGTCAACAGTCACTATATAATCATGCTATGGAAACAAGTTATCTCAAAAATATTAATGTTCTTTGAATACTATTTCTTCCTCACACTAGATCATATCCATATGTATCTGACACATGACTCTCACTCATGTGCTCCCTCTAGTACATATGACCTCAAAATTTCAAGACAAGGGTGAAGAGAGAGAAGGAACAATCTTGACTGCCATAACCAGGAATGGAAAACATAATGAGCCTCCACGGCCTGAAAAGAAGTCTGAAAGCATGATGGAGAAAGCAAGGCCCTTACACTTTACACCACACACCACACTGTGTCTGGAGGGAGCCTGGAGGGAAAACAATTGAAATCAGTCAAACTGGTCGCTTATATTTTGAGTCACTAATATATTATTTTTTAAATTTTCAGGTGCAAACCTTTGAAACATGGTCCTTTTTTAGCAAATCAAAGTTTAACTCAGTGTTTTCCTTTCCTGAGGTTGTTTCAACTGTGATGTGACTGTGAGCCACATCAAGTGTAACAGTAGAGAAGAATAGTGGCTTGAAATTGGAATTTCTTTGCTTTTACTAATAAATCTCTTGCAAGCATTGAATGTTTTGCTTCATTTTATTCAATTTCTCTGGAGCCTACATATAACAGCCAAAGCTATATGCTGTTATATTTTGGCTTATCTCACCTAATTTCTATGTCTTCATTGCCTTACCACACATGTATCATACCTGATATCACACCATTAACCACTCATTTTAAGGTAGCTCCTCATTTTCTGAAGAATGAAACACCCAAAATGGCAGAGCCTAGGCTGAGGAATATATTCAATGGAATAAGACATCACATTGCTGTTCTCTGAGCTCTACTCTGTGGTGGTATTGTGTTCCCCAAAATATTGTGCACCCAAATAAACTTATCTGGGGTCAGAGACAGAACAGCCACTAGATACAAAGGCTAGAAAATGGTGGCACTCACACCTTTAATCCTAGCATTCCAGAGGCAAAAATCCCTCTGGATCTCTGTGAGTTCCAGGCCACATTGGAAACGGCCAGTCATAGTGACACACGCCTTTAATCCCAGAAAGCGAGTCTTTAATCCCAGGGAGTGGTGGTAGAAAGCAGAAAGGTATATAAGGTGTGAAGAGCAGAAACTAGAAGCATTTGGCTGGTTAAGCTTTTAGCTGGTTAAGCTTCAGGCTTTCGAACAGCAGTTCAGCTGAGAGATGAGGACACAGAAGCTTCCAGTCTAAGGAAACAAGATCAGCTAAGAAGTTGGCCAGGTGAGGTTAGCTGTGACTTGTTCTGTCTCTCTGACCATCCAGCATTTCACCCTAATAACTGGCCTCAGGTTTGATTTTATTAATGAGACTCTCTAAGATTCCTGCTACATCTGGCGCCCAACGATGGTGGTATGAATTCATGACAAAGCTGCTTGCGGGTCCCTGCTCAGACCCCAGCTACTCTCGGCTGGTTGTGGTGGTGCACGCCAGTTGGATTTGCTGAAGGAGGCAGAGGCAGGAGGATCCCAAGTTTGAGGGTGGCCTAGGAGGCTTGCTAAGGAAAAGCTTCGACCCAGGCCCAGCCACAAACGGTGGTGGGACCATGGAGGCAGAGGCTGCTGCTCCATGTTGCTGGCTACTTCTCTTCATGTTGGTGACTGCAATGATGTTGCAACCTGGGACAAAAGGTTTACTGCTGCTGGTTCAGAGAAGAATTGCCAGGACCATGGTGTTACAAAAAAGCATTGGCAAAGGTCAGTTTGGAAAAATTTGGCAAGACAAATGGTGGAGAGAAATTGCTGTGAAGATTTTCTCTTCTAGGAAAGAACGTTCATAGTTCCGAGAGACAGACATTTATCAGACTGTGATTACTCCAAACCACAAAGGAGGTACAAAAAAAAAAATCAACATTATCAACAATTTCCAGAATTTAAAATCCTGAATCATGACAGGACACTAGTGGAATTCAGGTGTTTCTGGTACATGGACTGCTCTCACCCAATGTGAGGTTGAATTGTTGACCTTGTGTACATCCTACTTCATAAATGAGTCTGTCAGATACGCTAAGCCTATAGGCTGAAGAGGATAGCTGCAGAGTGAAGGGTAAGGCTCTTGGGCTTTCATCTTTGCATTGGTTCTATGTTTCTTAATGAATAAAACAGTTGCTTCTACACTACTCCAAATGTAGTCATTAACAAGCAGCCTTTAGTTCTCTTATATCTGCTACAGGAGTTATTATATCTGCTACAGGAGTTATTCCGTGGAGTAGGAACTGAGGCGTCAACAATAGAAAAATAATTGTTCTCAGTCAGATTACAGTACAGCAGAATTATACAGAGGGAAAAAAGATAAAACAAGATGTAAATAAAACAAGTGCTGAAGAAGAGAGTATAGTGCTTCAATAGAGCCTGGCACAAGGCTTTACCAGGGACTACTGACATACTTTAGAGTACATTTGCATTTTCTGGCTCCTTTCGGTGCATCAGAGGGAAGAGATTTATTTGAAAATTGTGCAAATATAGGGTTGTTCTGGAAAGATGGTGGCCATTACTGTCAAGTAAAAGTATATCTCAGGCCTATGTTCTGCATCAGTTCCATTCAGACTTGCTGTTGGTGAACTCTGTCCCAGCATTACGTGAAAACTGGCAGCATGCCTCTAGAAATGCAAACGATCACAATGCTTCCTATGCTTCCACACTAAGATCATCTGGGATCTTATATTTTATTAAGAATCTTTCTGACCTAACTGCCATCAAATCCCCAAGCCACAACTCCTGAGAATAGTGAAATGTAATAGACTGCATGAATAATGCAGTCCTGTCTGTGCTATAGGTCCATGAGCCTTTTTTTCCATACCTTCCTTCAGCATCCCAGCTGGCCTAGGCAGTTAGCTCCTTGAAAGGAACCTCTGTTCTAATTCTCATTTTTAGCCACTCAGTTCATCCTGGACAACCTCCTTCTCCAACCTACTTGTCTATTGCTGTAGAAGTGACCTCCCTAAGATGCCCTGACTTCAGTATTAATGGAAACTTTGCCATTGAAAACAGCAGATTTCTGATTGCATCCTCAGCTGTACCGTTCATGACGCTCTCCAACTTCTCACCTTTTCTCACCTTTATATTCTATGCCCCAATACCCCCAAATATAGTCTTTTCTTTTCATATAATCCCAGTCACCATACCAGTATGTTTTTAAGTAGTCAATGGCAATCAGAGCAAAATGAAAAGAAAATGTTGTATCTACTAAATGAAGTATAGTACAAGGAGAAAGCTGAGTGGATTGGTTATATGACTTTCTCCAAACCCTCAAACATTATTTCTTCCTTACAGAAATAGGTAAGTATATAAAAGAAAGATAAGTATAATTTAATTATACAAGAAAAATACAAGTAGTATGTAATCCCAACACTTAGAAGAGTTGAAGCAAGAAATTCTATGTAAGCTTGAGGCCAGCATGAGGTCAGAGGACCCGGGCTTCATAGCAAGACTGTGACTCAAGAAACAAAAGAAGCAAAGAACAATGGAGAGAAACCAAAAAGGCATGCACCTTCCACACTACAAAAATCCTCTACTCTGTGTGTTAGTACAAACACCTCTTGGGAAAACTTGAGCACAAAACTTGTATAACTCTCTCTAAATTTTGATTTTGGTGTATTTAACTCAGCACCCTTTGAACATGCCAGGTTCTCACAAAACAAAGCTTACCATGCAAATTACAAAGTCTTTAACATGCTTGTTTTCCTTTAAACGTGTTTAGTTTGGCTTTCACGGACACATTTAATCAAAGAGACATCTTCACTAGCAGTGTTTTCTCACTGTAAATTTCCTTCTCTTTAGCCCCTAGTCTCTTACCTTCTCTGTGCTCCTGGGTGCTGTCAAGGTCACTACTGTGACCTTTCCTGAGGAGTGTGTGTATGTTTCTATAACTTATCTTACCAATCTCTCATTGGCTTGATTTAATTATCAATCCACTTCTTTTCTTTCTGATGATTGCTTCCCAAGTAAATCCCATTTCCTGACTACCCAAAATATGCAATTCCACAAGAAGGCTTTGATACATGGCTATAAATACCCAGTGTTCCCTTTCTATAACTGGTTCATTTTCTCTTCTGTGCTCCATAAGTCACAGCCCAGGGAATTCAGCCAAACAACCAAATTTAGACTCATGAAAGATTTCAGTTCTCTGCCCTTTGAGAAAATATTTTCAACTCTTTGCACTGAATGCTGATAAGACACTACACTTGTGCTAAAAGGTGCGTACTTGGGGTAAGATCACTGTGCATTTTTCTTCCTTATACTAATACATAATTGTTCTTACATCACCCCTAGACCCAGTCACTTCACTGAAGTCACTTAGGAGACCCATATTTTCATTCAATTCCTGTAATAGGATGCACCTCAAAATTTTGGCTGCCAAATCAGCCTTTTCTTGAACAGGGGATCCTCTTTGGGTGGACCACCCTTCTTCATATGGTCATTTTTTTTAAACCTTACTTCAGGGCTGATAATGGCATGTTCAGAGGAAAGGCTGAATGCAATCCAACAGCCCTCTTTCTGTGTGGAAAAGTGAGACTCCTTCCTGGCTCTATCACTAAAAAACATCCACGGAAGTATCAATGCTGGACAAACTGCACAGAGAATTCTCTGCCTCTGCTCCCATTCCACCAGCCCAAACCCAACAGTTTCCCAGCTTAACTGTGATCTCCCAGTTAGCTGGAGCCTGTCCGAGGCAGAGGGACAATGTGTTAATAAAGTAATAGTGGTATATATTTCTCTCTCTCTCTCTCTCTCTCTCTCTCTCTCTCTCTCTCTCTATCTATCTCTCTATCTCTATCTCTACCTCTATCTCTATCTCTATCTCTCAAGTCTTTTATCAATCTAAACAATCTTAAATATTCCCAAAGTCATCGCTTCGCGGCCTTTTGGCTAAGATCAAGTGTATATTCCCAAAGTCTTTCAGTGTTGCTTCTGGAAGCCTGACTTTTTAGTTATCCTTATGGCATTTTACATATTGGTGGAGTTTTACTCCAAGAAAAGAATATCATTTTCCCACAAGTAAAATAAGGTAATTGGATGTTTGGAGGGGAAATCACTTTGTCCTGATTCTCTCAATTATATATACTAGCAGACACAATTGTATTTGCTTCAACCAGATTTCTTCTTTATACCATTCCAGTTCTTGATTGTACAACTTTTTTTTTCAACAAAATGGAGTAGAAAGAAGTTAAGAAATTTTCAAAACAGAAATAATTAGGCTGTGAAATTATTCTGGAAGATGTCTTCCTATTAGAGACTGGCCACAGGATGTTTTTAAAGGGACATAAAACTAAGTGAGCTGAATCTTTCTCAAAGAAATGAACAGTTCCCAAGATCAAAGAAAAAGGACTGTCATCTTCAGGTTTTAAAGAAAGGACAAGTTGTTCCTCGCTAACAAATACAACAGAAAACATAATATCAGAAAATCCTCAACACCCTTCAAATATGTTACTAAATTTCATAAGTAAAAAATGAATATTCACCTTAAATATATCTAAATGATGTGCTGTCTCATGTCAATTTGTACAGCCTCTGTGGTGGCTCTATTATTATCAGTGGCTTTTCTCGGAGAAAGGAAGCAAAGCACCCAGTGGAACTCCAGAAATATGTGAGTCAGCCTTCACACCTAGGCACTGGAAACAGGGTGGCAGAGCAGAGAATATAGAGAACCACTTCAACTCAGTGCTAGGTAGTTTCAAAGACAGTTCCATCAACTTTGAAACCCAGTTCTACTCAGGCTAAAAAAATTAAATAAGTCATTCCTTTAGCTAGTATAATAACAACAGTTCCACAGATAACTAATTACCTTCATTATAATCTTGATATTTTCTAAAAACATTCCACACACTTCAGGTACTAATCTAGACATGATCATTTAAGCTTGTTCTCTCTTTCTTTCTCATTTACAGTGAGGTTTCCCCTACCTCGGGAAGGTTGTTCTTCAGTTCCAACAATTAAACAATACAGCCTTGGAAGTTGTCAATAATACCAGAAATAATTACAAATTGTCTAAAGCTGGCTTTGGGGATCACAGGTTTATAATTCTGTCCCCTTTCTGATATCATGTGCTCACCCTCTTCATATCCCTGGGCTTCTGTGTCTTGTCTCTGGATGTCACCTTAACAATAAAAGGGACCTTTCACAAAGCAGTCTATCCACATGTCACCTATAACCTCCTGAGATCTATGCTTAGCATTTGTTCATTTAAGCAAATGTTTAAAGGTTTGTTTTCAATGATGGATACCACTCATTTATACTCAAAGCTTTGATATCCAAAGTCTGCAGAGTTATAATAAAAGATCTACCGAAAATTAAATCATGTTTCTCTGAGAAACATTCCTGTATCACTGAGTGGGTGATAAGTAGAAAACATTGATGGGAAAATGGGAAAAAAAAAAAAAACCTGACCCTTGAAATTAGCAAGCCTTTAAAATAACTGGTAAAACTGGAGTTCAGTTTTGCCTCTGGGCACACAGATGGCTGGCCTGTGGCCAAGCCTTTTCAGCTCTGGTGCACTGATGATGCCATTGCCCCGGGTGGGAGGTTGAGGAAGGCAGTGGCGTGGTTTGAGTTGGCTTGGTTTCTGACTTTCCCTTCTGGCTTTGTTTCCTTTGGCTTTCTCTCATTGGCAGACAAGGTGGCCTGTTCTCATTTGTGAGTGCCTTCATTGGTTTCTCATGTCACATCTAATTTCCTAATACTAGACACTCATCCCTGGAATATGTCATGTGCTCTGTGCTGTCTTCAACAACTCATTAGTCCATGCCCTTTTCAGTGGAAATCCTGCAGAAGCTGGATACATTTTGACTGTTTGCATAGTCCTTGAGAGATGATAGCCTGTGCTCTGAGTTATACTAAATATCATTAAGTAAAATCCAAACAAATGACACATCTGCAATTTGTAAGCTTTCAAAATTAGATTTCAACAGAGACAGACTTCTCCCAAATAATTGGCTTTTTTTCTGATTTTACACATTTTCTATGCTTTATAACTTATAGAAAACATGAAGCCACATTTACCATTACCTAGGAGTTAATGACCATAAATCATTCTAGAATGTTTTATTTTTTTTATCCAAGAATCTCTAACTTTTCCAATTTCTTCAATGCATATAATTGGCTGACATGAAGCATATGCTCAATTATTTGAATTTGGAGGGTCAGGAATCTTTATCTGAAAAATTTATAAATGCTTCACGAAAATATGAAGTTTGCATTTTATAAGAAAAAGAACATTAATGGAAATATCAAACACACAGCTGGTGGAGAGAGCGCCCTCGTGTGGTAGAGGGCTGGGCAGTGCACTACTGAGCTACAGCCCAGGGATTTTGAATGAGCTGATATTTAACCAGCTTTGGGGTTGACAGTTGCAATTCATAGGGCCTCACTGTACCCATTTCAGCCATTAAAATTGATGAAGCACCTTAAAATTCATCTCAGTACAGCATTCTAAGCTGCTTTATGCATCATTTATGGCAAGCACTCACCTATGATGAAATTCTACTTCTTTTCAATTAGCCACATAAATATTTAGACAAAATATTCAAAGATCAGACTCACCAGGAAATAGAAAGACACATTTGTTCGAGTCTCTGGTTCGATATATCATTTTATTCAAGTTTAGTATTCCTGTATGAGAGACTTGATTTTTGAAATCAGATAAGGAAAAATGTTACATGACTTCAGGGGGAAGTGTTTGGTAACTGGAGAGAATATCTGTTGGAATCACTGTTGGAAACTGATGCCCTTGCATTTAAGCATACTAAGAAGTGAGAGCCTCACGAGAATGCATTGCAAGTGTCAGCATGATTGATGATGATTATGGACGGGGCTTCTTAAAGAGGACTCCCTGTACTTCAAACAGTATATAACGTATTTCTTGGGTTATGTATTTTAATTCTCACAGTAATTCCACAAGTCAAATGAAACTATCATAGTTACTAGTTATAATTAAGGGTAGGAAAATAAGGTCTCAAGAGAGTAGGTTCTCACCAGAAATACAGGTAAAATATTTCAGAGCAAGGATGATCCAATGCCAATAACTGCCCTCACTGGAAAGACCCTGGAATGAAACCTCTGTAAGAGTAAAGGAAAAAAAGTCATAAGAAAGGGTCAATAATAGGGGAATCTGAAAGGCATAAGGAAACTTACAGAGATTCATGATTCAAATGTCTTTGTGATCTCTCTCTCTCTCTCTCTCTCTCTCTCAACTTTTTTCATTCAGTTTTTGTCACTGTGTATAGATAACTGTATAAGTGAATACCAGAGTTGGCTAATTTTAATAGATGTCACTGGCCTTTGAAAACAACTTCCTTGAAGACAGCAGATGACTCCTCGGCCAAAGAGGTATAAGTAACAAAATAGACTACAGCTGGGACCACGGCTCTTACCGAAGCACACATTATGAGGTGCGTTGCCTTTTCATTTGCTTGCTTGAGTCTGTCTGCAACACTTCTTCCAGAATGATCATGCAAAACTGTAATCCTAACACGGAGAAGCAATCTGCAGCAACAAATGACCTGAAATCTCACCAAATTCAGCTGTTTGTCTCTCCCTTCCCCTGCGCTGCAGATCTTCGCTAAACTCCACTAGGCATTTTTTGACCCTGGGGAATCCAGACTGAAAAACTGAAGTTGATGAATAGCTATTTTCTGGAACATTGCCAGTGGCCACCACAGAAAGAAAACAGTACATTATCTTAAAGCGTCTGGCCAGAGGTAACATATATTTCTCACTCATATTTAGCTGATCAAAGCAAATCACCAAGTGTAAACACTGCAAACTAGACCATGAAATGTACTGGGATGAGGAATGGAAATACTTACTAGACATTACTAACAGGTGATGCATACATTGCCTTGCTTAATTAATACATGCCAGTTGCCAACAGGATGAAATTCAATCATATTTATTTGTCTAAGAAAATCCTTCATGAAGTGACCCCTAACTACTGTCTCTACCTCACCTCCTATCAATTCACCACAAGTATCTTACATCCCAATTATCCTGAATTAGCAATGATCCTCAAATTGTCAAGTTATCTCAAGTCCAATGTATTTGCACATGATACACGATGCTTAGCGTGTTCTTTCCTTGTGTACCTGCCTGATAGGACTCTTCCCTGCCTCTATGTCCCAACTCCAGGATTTTCTGCATTATAAAGTTTTGTCAGAGATGAATATGGTTACACATACTTGTAATCCCAGCACTCAGGAGGTTGAGGCAGGAGGATGGAAGTGTACAGGCTTTCTTAGAATATACAGGGAATTACAGGCAAACTTACACTGCTTAAGCCCCTAAAACACAAAAAAAGCACATAACAGACAGATGGATAGATAGATAGATAGATAGATAGATAGATAGATAGATAGATAGATAGATAGATAGATAGATAGAGATAAGGACTTATCATGTCAACTTACCCTTAATGCGCATACCCATAGTTTTCTTTTATTAATCTTCACACAAAAAAAGTATCACTCACTTGCTCGTAAGTAATTATCTGAGTGAAATTTTTCTGGATTATTCCTAGTACTCAATAAATAATTTTGGTTGAAGAACTATGTCTTCATTTTAATAGGGGATACTATGGTTTAGCAAAGTGAGTACAATAAATGAGAGAAGAGGAGAATAGGCATGTATACAGCAGTATTGGTGACTTTTAACTGATCAAATTGATTTTTACCTAAGTAACTTTTCTTCATTAAACTTGGTGATTTTTTTATTGCCATGGTGGCTCACACACAAATAAGTCAGTTTAGAGAACTTTCTCCCGTAGCCTTGGCCCTGTGAGATCAAGCAATCTCACATTTTCTCTACATTGGCTTTGTCAGGGTCATTATAATTGTGAACAACATTCCTCACTTTCTGTAGACATCCTATAAATTTATAGTTTGTCCCATTTTATGGAGATAAGAATAGATTCGGATTAATTAGAATTTTCCCAAAGTTATATAGCTATTAAGAGCATGAAATGACAGCCAGATCTAAGCCATCATAAGGTGAACTCATGCTACTAAGCGGCCATGTACAGAAAATAAATTAGGTAGATAAAATGAACTAGCTATATAAAAATTTATCACATTCACACTTTAATAGTAGTCACTAGTACCCTAATGAACCACCACACTGCATTTCATCAGAGCCTTCTCCTAACAATATTTTTATCCAAACAGGATTTACATGTTATCAACATCAGGTTGAAGCACTTACGCAGATGGAGGTTTGGAACTCACAGTTTTGTACTTCTGAAACAGCAGCCATTTTTGCCAGCTTTACCTTTCCTGGTCCAGGTGTCTCATGGTGGTCATACTTTCAGAAACCCCAGCCATCCACCCACTCAGACATGAATGCATCATTATGGAAGATATTCCCTTGAATTACTTAGTATTAGTTTGACCTTTAAAGGAAAGAATAGGGCATTTAGTTTTTCGGAATTCTCCACTGAGTATTTCTTAATACCACACAGGGGTTGCCAACGATTTCTCAAGCACATCCTTCTAAATGAACAGAATTAGTTCCAGGCAAGATCTTAACAGTTCTTCCTCTCTGGACTCAACCTGTATTCATCTACCCATGCCAAGATAAAACTCATCTAATCTTTAGATCTAAAGGTCATTTTTCCAACATATCCATGAAATGTACAATGAGGAAATGCATCCTTATATTTCAATTCTATACTCTTGTATAAGTGTATTTTATGGACAGATATTAAAAGTGCCTTTAACTATCTTTAATTAGAATAGGTTTTTTTTTAACTTATTTTAACTTTCTGTGCTATTCTGGGCTTGGAATTTTTATGAAGGCCCTAAGCAAATCAAGTTGTTATTTCAACATGGAAACCTAATGGGCAAGCTTTGCTGGAGAAATAATTAACAAAGCCACTCAGTGAAGTTTGTGTTCCATGGAACTAAAGATGAGTAATTGCTAGTGAGAGTACCCCGGCAGTCAGCCTCCTCCTGCCATTCTTGCAACCAAACATCAACCTCACTGACCCCAAAATATTCCACACCTGTTATTTCAGTCACCTTGGTTTTTAAGAGAGACAGTTCTGCCCAACCTAATACTTATTGAAAGCTGGGTCTTAGGCATAACCCATCCTCAGACAGCCCATAAATCATTACATAATGTTTATTCATGGAACTCTTTGGTCTTCTTTGTAGAAACCAGTAATCCATTTAGCAAATCTTAAATGGTAATACTTTTTCACTGACTTTTCTTAATTGGTTAAAAAAAATGTTCATTTATACCTTTTGGGTTAGATTCTATTTAGTAATACTTTTGAGTGGTTTATCTACAAGATTTTTTTTCAGTTTCTGTCTTGTGAATGAAATCATGAGGTGACATTTTTCTAGGCTATTGTAATCATCCGAGAGACGTTTTAGTAATAAGTTATCTGCACTGTTTTAATGTTTTTGATTCTTATGTGTATATACAATAATAATAGAAGAAACACATATTAATAAGAATGTAATCTCACATGCTTTGTGAGACCTCATGTGCCAGAGGATCATCGCTCCCAGCACACATGTTTTAATGTGATTTTCTAAGACTATTCTGGAGTTAGATTTCAGTTCAGATTCTGGGACTGGACCTCATCCATATACGCTTGATAAGGCTTTTTAATCCTTGTGTTCCTCACTTGAAAATGAGAGCATCAAAATCACATCTAAATATATCTAAGGGTCGTGGCAAGAAGTAGTGCAATTGAACTGATTCATACAAATAAAACATCTGTACATGGCTTGACACAGTCTGCATGTTAGATAAATGATGTGTTATTTATGTCTTAATCAATATCATCCTTCAGAAAATGGTTCCAAGTTTTATAACAGAATGCAGGGATGGTCTGCATGTCAGGGTTCCACATCTACATATGGAAGAATAGAGCACAGAAGAGCCAAAATATCCTTGAAATAATGCCATACACAATTGAGATTCTTAATGTCTCCAATGTAGTCACAAATAGCATAGCAAAAAAAGGAGCAATCTTTTGAAATAATATCATAAATCACAAGAACTTCTTATTGGATAAAAATATAAATTGATAAAACTTATAAATAAGTCTGCCTACTGATGCAACAGATGCTCATGAATCCTGGCACTTCCCTTTCTAAAAACATTCTAAGAATGGAATAGAAGGAAGTTGTCTGTGATTCCAGCTTCTTAGTTCTTGGCTTTGGTTGCTTCCAATAATTGTTATTGCAGGTAGAAAGGCTCCTTGGAAAAGGAACAGAGAAATATCACGCTTCTTAGCTAAAATAGAACCTGAAAATAAGCATTATTACTGAGTGACCTTCATGTTTAGTGATCTCAACTAAGTGCAATGATGACTGGAACAATCCTGGATTCATTTCCTCATGACAGATACAAGCTGCTTAAGTCTCTGGAAGAAGTAAAAATAAATTGCCTACTTAACAGCTAAAGCTTAGAAAATCCTCTAACAACTTAAGACGAGTCACAGAAAATTCATAAGTTAGAAGGTATTGATTTAAAGAATATATATGGGGGGTTGTAGCATGTAAGACATCTGGAGAATTTTCACCAAATCCTCAAAGAAAATTCTAATCATTCTGAGAGTACAGCTTCTGGTAAGCCAACCACTCTCCAGTGGAAGAATACCCAGCTAAGAATATCTGGGCAGCATAAATTGGTCTAGTCGGATTTAGAAATAAAAGGACATAAAGTTTGGTGGGTAGGAGGTGTATGTCCGGGAAGAGTTGGGGAATGATTGAATATGATCCAAACATATTATATCAAACTCTCAAAGTACAAATAAAAAATATTAACCAACAGAATAAAAAAAATGCTTGAGAAAACTATCCAGTGTTTTGGTCTCAAGTAAATAGAAAGTCTATGATATTGAAACAAGTATTAAGCTCACAAGTAGTTAAACTTGAACTCTACTGCTGAAGAACTAGGCCATGCTTAGCAAACTAACCTCTTAGAATTTGTTTTCTTATCACTTTAATGATGATAACCATACTTTGCTGATGAATAGGGGGATCCAATGAGAAAACACATTCATGCCACATAGCCAGGAACCTGATTCTCGGCACTCTAACTTACAGCAGTATTGCCATATTGTTTGTGGGGCACCTTATAAAGTACTATGGCAGCAACAAATCCATGTTATTGGTTATGTGAAGAGTTCTTTAGATAATAAAGACAATGATGTGCCAGATCTGCTGCTTCTATCTCTTCAGATTCAACAGCGAATAGCCCATTGTAAAACAACAGCTTGAAATTCAACTTGGTAGAAATAATAACATTAAGGAAATTTGAAGTTGCTTCAAATCAGACACCTTTTATTGTTTTGTTTTTGTTGGTTTTGTTTTCAATTTGGGGAGTTTTGAGTGTTTGAGGCATTTACTTATTTATTTAGGTCACAGATTTAGTTCACCAGCACATCATTCCCTAAAGGAAAGGATAGAATTTAAGGGGTACAGGTTTAAAAAAGGGAGTTGAGTCTTAATAATGAGACCATGAAATCAATATTTTATATTTATGTCAAGTTTTTTAATGAAAGAATTAAAGTTTACATATCTTTACAAAGGAGTCTGTCACTACCTCAGTAGACTGTGGGTGCTCTGTAATATCACTTGGGTCTTTGGTTTTCATTTTTCTTCTCCCTAACAAATGTGAAGTAACTAACCTTGCTGTAAAAGTAAGTACTTCATTCCCTCATTCATTCAGCAAATAAGTATTCTTTGTCTACACTGAGGCCCTGGTGATGCTTGAAGTATTTAAAATCTATTGGCTAACATAATATCTACTGCTTAGTTTGACCCCCAAGACATCAATCACCTCAAAGTGATTGATGTCTTGGGGGTCAAACTAAGCAGTAGACGGTTATTACGGTTTACAATATATCAATACATTTCCCCTTTTTTAAACCAGTATCTTACACATTGGTACTCATGGCGGTGGCTAGCAGCATCTCCTGACTCAGCCTTCCTGTTCCCAGAATTCTCTTCTCTGCTTGTCCTGCCTATACTTCCTGCCTGGCTACTGGCCAATCAGCATTTTATGTATACAGAGTGATATCCACAGCAGTTTGTCCAGTCTCTACATAGTGGGAAAGTTCAGGGCTTGTCTCAAGTCCTTGCTTGAATAATCTGTGAGGCTGGATCATCTCAGCTAGCCATTTTGAAATTGTCCTGAGCAGTTTGTAGTCCAAAGCTGATCTTTTGGTAGTGTTTGTCTGCTTGGTGACCTTATCATTATCCTAATGAAATTGTCATTGTGGGGTCCTATCATCATTTTTGAGACTTCAAAGATTGCATTGGGTCAGATTATTCCTTTCCTTGGTAATTTTTTCCAGGTAGTTGGGTATTCCTTATAATAAGTTGAAGCTAGCTAGCTCATGCGTAATGATGGATAACTCCTGATACAATAAGATGCATTCTTTATATCGTTCATGGATAAAATTTTTATGTCGAAAGCCTTGGCAAGTGTCTCAGGCTGAGGCCCTAAAATAGGCTGAACTGGAAATTTTGAAGTCCAGATTGGCATGCAAGGTATTCATTAGGGACCCCTGGAGCTAAATTCCAGTGCAGAAAGGGAAAGAAGGTAAGAACAGAAATCAGGAGAAGTGAAGACGCTGTGTATTCCTCATAGCTCAGTAGAGGACATGGAGAGCTGGGACCATGAGCAGCCTGGGCATCAGTGACTCTCAGGATATTTGTTGGACTTGGAAGTAGGATCAGGGAGATTAATTCCCAACTGCCTGAAGACAGTTCCCAGTAGCTGGACAAGAAGACTCTGATCCTTCACTGGGCCTATGATTAGCACATCACCACATCTATTACAAAGACTAGTAAACATTCTGAGAAAAATATGTAGAAATTAAGGGTGACAGTTTTCATCACTAATTGCAGAGAACAAAATTATGTGACTATGGATAACCAATGAGTAATGCTAAAATGTAGGGGAATATTCCCAAAGTTGGAGCAGGATGACAAACTGATGTCTAGTTCTGTAGGCTTACCCACATTGATGCCATAACATTAGCTTATCTGACAGACTTACAGCATTCAGGTTCCAGCGTCATTCTTCACAGCTTCACATTTGTAACTTTCTCCTACTTTTGATGCTTTTATCTGTCAATATTTCTTCCACATCCACCTCTCTGTCGTGCAACATTCAGATTCAGTATTCAAGTAGGAAAAAAAGAGTAGTTGCTGAAATATAGAAAAATTTGGAAACATATAATTACAAATCTCCACTCCTTTTTCTTACATAAGCATCAGAAATGATGCAATAGTCTAACATAAAGAAAAAAATTAAATTAAACTGCACGTATAGTTTCTACTTATAATATAAAAATCCTAAATCTAAATAATTATATTATAATTCACTCATTTGAAATGAGTTTCTATAGAGAAGAGCAATTATGTTAAGCAATGTAAATGTCTTGTTAAATATTTTATGACAATATTTGTGAGTGCTTTAATATTTAATGTCATTGTGTAAAATGTGTCTAGAATTTATAAGTCATCAATCAACTGTTCAACAAATATTTGAGAAGTGTGTTTAGGAGAGGCACCAAGAATTAGGCAGTGACCAATACAGAAGTTGTGCACTAGAGGTAAAAAATAAAGTATGAAAATTTAGTTTTAATAATGCTAAAGATTAAAACACCAGGTAAACAAAATAATTAGATACATTAGTCATCAGTCAGTGGCATATGCTTTGCAGAAAGTTATAATAGTGTGATTTACTATAACTTAGTAGAGTTTCACAGAAATTAAAAATAAACATCCACATAATTGAAAAGATAAAAACTTGGTATTTTTCTTCCGTGGTTTTATGATAAAGCTACTAATAAGGTAATTCTTGGTCACAAAAACTTAGTGACCTCATTGAGTTAAATCACAATTCATTTCTGAGAATATATAAACTCACTTTTATTTATACTTTTCCAATTAGTGATCAAATATTATGGTATTGTGTGTTTTCCTCTCAAGTTAGATATTTATATGCCTTAGAAAGAATGCTAGATTAAGAATCAAAAGGCAAAAATAAAAAAAAGAATTAAAAGACTAGAATTCTAACCACAATTCTGGTCCTTTCTTTTTTTACTTCTTTTATTTTTATTTCGTGTACGTGTGTGTTTTGCCCGTATGACTGTGAGGCACTTGCCTGCCCTGATGCCCATGGGAGTTGTACAGTGGGGTTGGATTCTGTAGAACTACAGGTACAGACAGTTGTCAATTGCCACCTGGGTGCTAGGAAGCTGGAAAACCTAGCACTCTGGAAGAGTAAGTAGCCAGTGCTCTTTTTTTTTTTAACTTCCTTTTTATTTATTTTTGTCTCTTTCACATTATCCATCTCGATCCCATACATTTCCCCATCCCTTCGTATCCTCCCTCTGCCCTTGCAAACACAGCCTCAAATTAAATACTCTTCGATGTATGTGTCTTTTATATGATGTATTTTGATCCCATCCATTTCCCTGTCCCTTCGCATCCACCTTCCGCCCCTGCACCACCACCCCCAAAGGAAATTTAAGAGGAAAAAGGTGAAATCTTTTTTAAAAAAACGGGAAAAACTTAAAAATCTCATCATGGAAGCTGTAGCGTGACATAGTGCGTCACGCGGTAAACCCCTTTGCCCAGGTATTCTTACTGGCCAGTGCTCGTTGCAGAGTCGTTGGTCTGGTTGGAGGTGTCTAATTTCTACTATACCATCAATGCTGGGTCCTCACCAGGACTGTTCCTGGATATACTGTTGTTGCCTTGTGTTTTGAAGATCCTACAGCTTTGGGTCTGCAGAACTGACCCCTTCACGTTCTCCAGAAGATCATAGATGGGATGGATGTCAGTGGGTCAACTCATAACCCTGGTTCTGGGCCTGGGTAGTTGCACGGTCGGTCAGCCCACCAGCTCTCCCCCATCCTTACCGCTAAGATGAGCTCTCCAGCATTGCCCCAGGCTAGTTCATCCCTTACAACAATGAACAAGAGGCAGGACCAAGCTCCTGCTTTCGTACCCTCAGGGTAGGGGTCAGCTCTCCAACACCTACACCATCAGAGCCAGCTCTGTATTGCCCTGGCAAGGTGCAGGGGCCACTCTCCTGAGCGCTGTAGCTGGTGAAGGGGCCAGGACAGCTCTCCTACCCCTCACAGGTGGTCAGAGGTGGGGATGGGGGGCATCTCTTCAACTGCCCACCCCACAATATGGCAGAGGAGGAGCAGAGCCAGATCTCCCATACTCACGTTCTCCGACTGGTTCACCTGCATCCCTGTCAATAGGATCAGATCTACTGTGCTGCCCAGGTTAGGTGCAGGGCCCACCTTCCTGAGTGCTGCAGCTGGTAAGGGGGAGGGTCAGCTCCCTCACCCATCATAGGTGACAGGCCAGGGTGGGGGAGGGCATTTCCCTTGCTCCCTCCACCACATGGCACACAGGAGGCAGGGAGTGGCCAGTGCTCTTAACTGCGGAGCCCTCTGCAGCCCCATCTCTCACATTTTTTTTTTTTTGACAGTGAAGGAAAATTAAATTCCCTTAGAGACTGAAACCATTCTCATATCGCTCATACCAAGGTTCCTTTGGTGCCTGGCAAGGACAAGGGCTACAGAAGCTTCCCAGTAACTACTTGTGTCGATGAAAAAGTAGTGAATGAAGACACTGGACCTCCTGAACCTCATCTCTCTCATTGACACAGGTAACTCATCTTAACTGCATTAATATGTGTCAGAAGTTCTGGGAAAAGCATAGCTTATATGTTTCAAAAAATAATTTTATTTTAAGGACTGCTAAAATTCAGGGTTTTTTTTTTCATGATCCACAGAACAGTGGTCAAATCTACAACTATATTCTGTGCGTCTCTTGGCTGATTCTTTAGGATGGTTAATAGGGGGAGCAAAAATAACACATTGAAAGAGCAAGCTGAGTCACTTCATCCTTTAAGTTATTGAGACAGAGCACAGTTATAATTTCACTGATACCTAGCCCAACAGTCATAAGCACGTGGCAGTAGAATGCAGTTTTTTAATAAAGGATTTTTATGTGTGCTGGTGACGGAGGGGAAACAAAATAATGATGCCACAGTGACCATATCTGTCTGGAGTTCTTCATCCTGAGTGTTTGAACCTTAACCTGTACCAAATGCCACTGCTCAGGATCTTTCCATCTTTTCCCTCTCCTAAATGAAGTAAACCATTTATTCAGCAAAATGTAATGAAATATGTTGTAGGTAAATGACACAATTGTAGAGATGAGAATGTGTACAACAAGGTTGGCTAAGACAAACAGACACAGACAACGTGCATACTGCAGTATGTAAACTTGGCCTTAGTCTCCCTTCAGGTGTATCAATGCTTACTAGGATACAGGAACTTGGAAGTTGTCCTATACTAAGGCATGGCCTATTGCTTTCCAGTTGTTTCAACTGTTATGTATAAGGAAAGTTTCAACTATTTTTTTTAATTGTTTTTAATTATATATGCCTCTGTGTGTGCCTGAGTACATGTACGTGCACATGTGTGTGCTGGTGGTGTCCATGGTGGCCAGAAGAGAGTGGGAAGCCCCTGGAACTGTGGTTACATGCAGGTTTGAGCCACCTAATGTGGGTGCTGAGGACCAATCCCAGGTCTTCTACAAAAGCAGCAAATGCTTTTAACCATGGCGCCTTCTCTCCAGCCCCTTAGGTACTTTCCTTTAAAATATTCAACCTATGGAAATTTTAAATAAAGGAAAATAAAACAAGCCATTCACAAGTATCTTCAGATTTTGAATATAAAGCACGATGAAACTACTCATACCATGATATCTTCATCTCTGTTTAGTGCAAAGCCTTAGCAAGTTCCTGGCTCAGTAGTAGGGTTAGCTGCCTGGGGCCCTGCGGGATGTAATAGAAATTCTCAAGTGGTTGCTGACTTACAGTATATTTAATTTAATTTGACAATACTCAAAATAAACCAGTCTGTTCACACACACACAAACACACACACACATACACAATTCATGTGTGTGCGTGTGTACCCGGGTACATATATGCACACATCAAGAAACATAAAACCTACCTAGTTTGCCCACACAATAATTGGCTGCACTTTTGAGGCAAGTGTGGTTATTACACTAAGTACAAAGTTTCAGTAAATTAGCCATCACATTCTAGGGTTTGGGGTTACTTATTTAAGGCATCCATTTTTAAGATGATAAAAGGAGTGGAACAAAATTAGCCCTGGGGGGTTAGTCATGACCAAGAAGAAACCAAGAATGATCACAAAAAAATGTCTCAGGAGTAACTGAAAACATCACTTAGGGTGTGGAAGTCCATACACCATCAGGAGGAGGAGGAAAGGGGTTATTAGCTAAGCCATTGTCTAAAACCCACTGAATCACTGGTCCCTTTCAATCATGATTGGTCCCTTTTTTTCTAAAGATGGGTTTTAAATTCTAAGAGATGATCTGAAGAGCAGAGCTGAGAAAGAAAGGGACACAGATCTTACAAAGGAGTAAGGTAAGATTTCAAATCTTTGCTTTGGTATTTTAAAAACCAAACTCTGATACACTACTGTGGTCATCCTAATGTGTGTCTATGTCTGTGATGTGAAATACAGTGGGAAATTTTGAAGGTAGAGGCAAGAGATAAGAAGTATCCACCAGTTACAGTATGGATCACTGCTTCTCTTTACCTTTTCCTTTCCTGGATTAAAAAAAAATGCTGCAACCACTACAGTTAATAATCATGAATATTAGTAGACTTCTAATGGAAATTTTTTTTCCTTGGCTTGGGACTGTTAGATCTTTGTTGTGATACTTTTTCACTGCAGATATTAAGATCATTCTAATAATAAGGACCCAGTCAGTTGACCCCAGGCAGGGGGCTCCATGGACTGGAGAATACATTCCCTTCCATCAGAGGCTAACAGTGATATGGCCATATCACCTGCCACTAAATGAGCTTTATGGTCAAGCAAACAATTTCCCCATAAATACCTGCATTGAGAGATAGTCATAAAGATGACTTTTTATTTTGAGCCAAAAACATAAGAAAATATAGAGAAACTGACTCAACAACTACTTGGATTTGACAATGCCATCTAACAAATTTTGTCATGCCTTTATTTTTGTCATGAAATTTTAAGCAAAGAGTATGTTTTAAAGCTAAGTATTACAACTTATCATGTAGGTATATCATCTGAAAATGAAAATTATAATTCTTCTTGGACTCATAGGAGCTACATCTTCAGCCCCGGTAAGTGGTTCATGGTGCTTTTGATTTCATCATGTAAACCTATGCAATTCCCTTCCTTCATCATTTTTCTTTCTTTATTTTTTTTAGCTTGTCTCACAGCGCCTATTGTCTGCTAGCAACAGTCATGAGGTTAGTTTAAGTAATTAAAACATTCTCCTGTGTCCTATAAGTGAAAACACGTTGGGAAGAGATGAAAGTCTGCATCCGGGTCTTAGACATCTCTAAACCTATTTCCAAGCCACAAGGTTGCTTTGTCTACCAGCTGGCTCCTAAAGGGTTGCTTTGTCTTCCTTGTGTAATCATAACTTCTCCAAACACAGTACCACCTGTATGCTTTGTTCCAGTAGTACTGATGTGGGTATTAAATATAGATGTATAAACATAAAATACCCAAACCACTGGCATGAGCTAAAACTGTGCAGTCTCACGCATAGCAGGGGCAGCATTGTTAAACCCGGCCTGTGTTTTCAACTCGAACCTCTAATCGCTGTGATTTAATGCAGTCTTAGTGGAGAGATGTGTCACTTCGCCCCAGAAGCTGATCAACTAGCTCTGACTTGTGCTCTCTCTGTGGAAAACATTTCAGAAGGCGGAGTTGTCTCATTCTCCTTCTGTCTCTCCTTCTCTAGTTACTCCTGAATCTGAATAATGGTCAACTTTTGCCACTGCAATTTCAGGTACCGCTATGTAAATAATCAATTCAGAGGGAATGTATTTCTAAGGAGCACTTCTGACAGTATGGAATGAAAACAAAATGCATCCATTTATATTGTTAAGAATTTGGTATGTGCCTGGCATTAATTCTGATGACTTTTGAGATAGTTAACTATTTTAAAACAAAGCCATGCCGAGCCAACCAAGAGGAGTAGAAACGGAAAAAAAAAATGAATCCAATCAAATATCTGAAAAAACTTGTGCTCTTTTTATCAATTCATTGCATCCCATATTTCTCATGACAGTTGAAAACCTCACAATTTGTGAGGTTTATAAGTAGTCAAGTTGCCGTCTTCTCATAACACTTGAATTATAAAAATTGTCTACATTTTTGTCCTTATTACTCAGGCTTGATTTCAAGCTCTTTTTTTTTAATATGAGAGAGTAATATTCCCTTTCTATCTTTGTTTTTCACAGAGTGCATTTAACTCCTGGATTCCTTCCTTCCCTGGGTTTCTGCAGCAGCAGCAGCAGCAGCAGCAGCAGCAGGCTCAGGTCCCAGGACGCCCACAGTTCCCACTCTCAACACTAGAGAGCTTGGCTGGGCTATTCCCAAATCAACTACCTTTCTCAGGACAGGTTGGACTTGCCCCAGGAGGCCAGGCTGGCCAGCCAGAACTCTTACAGCTGCAGACACCACCTCAGCCCCAACAGGGTGTAAACCTTGTAAGTTGAGCCTCTTCCATCTTGTTGTAAGACAGAACATAAAGGTTGTTGTGAATTAGCTTTGAAGTACGGCAGAAGTCTTCTTATGTCTTGTTTCTTCTATGTTCTTTCATTCACCACAGAAAGTACCTCCTTGTATTTTCTGGTTTTTAGTTTAAAAATAACGTTAAAATCAATTATCCTAGAATATAGTCAGTAGTCAGGAGTTAAAACAACGTGTGGATGCATAATTTGCATAAATTACAACTCGTGTAAAAGACAAACTTTGGTGGAATATTTCTAATGCAAATGATACATGAGAAGTTAGCTCTAGGGAAAGCAGATCAAGAATTTCAAATAGCTGGGCGGTGGTGGCACACGCCTTTAATCCCCGCACTTGGGAAGCAGAGCCAGGTGGATCTCTGTGAGTTTGAGGCCAGCCTGGTCTACAGAGTGAAATCCAGGACCGGCACCAAAACTACACAGAGAAACCCTGTCCGGGGGAAAAATAAAAAGTTTAAGTAACAGGTCAATAGTATGATTTGCTTATATGGTTTTCTGGGATTGTTTGTTTGTTTGTTTTCTTTAGATGTCCTACGTGGTTCCCTTTAAAGTGCCTCAAGATCAAACACAGGTGAGTGAAAAGAATTCCGTGACTAACACAGAAATGGCTCATTGTACTCTCCATAGTACGCCCTCTTGTTCCCCTAGGTCTCCAGCATCAGGGCTTTCATACCTGTTTTCCACCCATCACTAGCTAGAGGCACCATCATTGGCCTCTAGATGTCTATTGATGCTGGGCTTCCTTGATTCTTTAAAAGTAGGCCGCTAACAAGGATCTCTAGGATCCATGGGTACCTATGACATCACTATGCAGAAGGGAAGAAAGCCCAATATCACATCTTCTCTGTATTTAAGTGCCAACACTGGGGAACAAGTAATGACCAATACCATGAGCTGACTTTGTACCCTCTCAAATTTTGTTTTGGAGAATCTTGCATTTATATCTGATATGTGGATATAAATAGCAAACATCATAATAATTGTATTTTATTATAGCACTAACACACATTATTCATGTTATAAAACTCCACTGAAACTTTCCCAGCCTCCTGTATGCAGTATTTATAATTTGAGTCCACACAATAATTAAATGAAATTTTCCCTTCAATAAAAAAATTAAACTGACATTAACTAATAAATTTATTATGTTAACATAGAAAACCCTGTTGATATTAGGATAATTAATTGTATAATACATCAGATTCAAATAGGGCTATATATAAATCATTATTCATTTGAAGACTATTGACTTGTTCAAACAAAGTTATACCCCTCTCCTCTTCTAGAAGTATAATTATGCAATTAAGTTTCACTCCCACTGCCGTTACATAATAACACAATTCTAGACATTATCTCACTGTATATTGTTAAGTATATAGAGAGTCAGGTATGTGACAAACACAATTACTTCATGTTAAGGCCCAGGAAACATAGTTTTAATGAGATTAAGTATCTTAGCCCAATGAACTAAACAGCTGAAATAGAAGTCAGTCCTCTATCCCTTTTTAAACCACTAATCCATTAGCTCTCTACACAAAAAGCTTAGTGGGGAATTTTGAAAATTACAAATGCCTAAGCCTGCATTAGGCCCAAGATATCATAACTTGAACAGACAAACATTGTTAAGTTTCTGAATGCTTAATGGGTGATTTTTACTTTTGTCTGGGGTAAAAACCTATTAGGAAAATTGTATTCATTTCAGAAACATGGCTGCAATTATCTTCAAATGTTATATCAAATATAATCATTTGATGATACAAAACATAGAAGAGCATTAAAAAATGTAGCTGGGCGGTGGTGGCGCACGCCTTTAATCCCAGCACTCGGGAGGCAGAGCCAGGCGGATCTCTGTGAGTTCGAGGCCAGCCTGGGCTACCAAGTGAG